CTCAAAAAAAAAAAAAAAAAAAAAATTATCCTTTATAATATATAAAAGATGAATTTAAAGGATATTAGGTTACCACCAACAAATTTATTATAGAACTGGTCCATCGAAACAACCATGGCTAAGAGATACTTGCTAACAATTCCTAGCAATGTCATTTTGGGAATTATGCATTGTGGTTCAATATGAATGTTTTTCTCTTGGTATCACTCCAGTTATACGGGGCACTAACTTTTTAAATTGGGAATAGCTCTGACTAGTTTGTCATCAAATAACTACTACACAAAAGACTGTTCTTAAAGGAAAACTCTGTGTTGGGTGTATATTTAAAAACACCACATGGTCAGGTGTGGTAGCTTATGCCTGTAATTCCATCACTTTGGGAGGCTGAGTTGGGAGGACTGTTTGAGCCCAGGAATTCAAGACCAGCCTTGGCAACATAGTGAGACCTTGCCTCCACACAAAAAAGATCAAATTAGCATGATGTGGTTGGCAAGCACCTTTAGTCCCAGCTACTTAAGGGGCTGAGGGAGGAGGACTGATGAGCTGTGATTATGCCACTACCCTCCACCCTGGGGTTCCCACTATATTGTTAATTAGAATAGTCCATGCAGAAGAAAGACAACTTGGCTCTAATTTGAGAAATCTGTCATGTTATTCTGTATTATTAAGCCAAAACAAAGTGCTAGATAAGGAATCTATCTACCCTTAATAACTTAACTAAACTGCTTCAGGGATTTCATTGCTAAAACTTGATATAAAGTACAAGGAAAATTTCTACTACTATTGAAAACTAACATTAACCCAAATCTAAAGCCAGTGGAACCATTCCACAAACTTACTACGGCATTTTGCCCTCTGGGAACTAAAAACAGTAATTTTTAACAGAAACGACTCCATCCTAAGATGCCCACTATATCACATAAACCAGACACAGAAAAGTCGTAGTGCTCTGAAGCAAAACAAAAAAGCATTAAACCATAAATGACATGGGAAACCTCAAACCCACTGAGCTGCTTCATCAAATAGATAGGCACAGCCAGATTTAACTAAATTGTAAATCTTTCTATTTATTTACACTCTTCAACAATGCTTTTCCCTCTCTTAAAAAAAAAAATCCACCAATGCAAAAATGCTAAGATTCTTATATAAGTTATTTTGGAAATACATTACAGAGACAGGTCTCAGGCCTTTCAACTAATCAAAAGTAAATGAAAATTAGAAGGCAAAAATGGACAAACCTAAAATATTCCAGCTTCCAAGATTTGTGGTGGCAACAGTAGTCCTAAACAAATTAGAATATTGCAATCTCCACAGGACATAGTGGCTCACACCTGTAATCCCAACACTTGGGAGGTGGGAGAATTGGGAGGTGAGAGAATTTGCTTGAGCCCAAGAGTTCAAGGCCAGCTTAGATAACAGAGGAGACTTTGTCTCTACAAAAAAGTAAAAATTAGCCAGGCAAGGTGATGTGCACCTGTAAGCCCAGCTACTCAGGAAGCTGAGGCAGAAGGATTGCCTGAGCCCAGGAGCTTGAGGCTGTGGTGAGCTATGATCATGCCACTGCACTCCAGCCTGGGCCAGAGACCCTGACAAAAACAAAAAAACAAACAAAAAAAAACCCGGCCGGGCTCGGAGGCTCAGCCTGTAATCCCAGCACTTTGGGAGGTGGAGGCAAGAGGACTGCCTGAGCCCATGGGTTTGAGACCCACCCGAGCAACTTGGTGAGACCTCGTCTCTATAATAAATCAAAAACTAGCAGGGCATGGTAGCACACGCCTGTAGTTCCAGCTACTTGGAAGGCTGAGGTGGAAGGATCGCTGGAGCCCCACAGGTGGAGGCTGCGGTGGCTGGGAATGTGCCAGTGCCCTCCAGCCTGGGCAATAGAGTGAGACTCAAAAAAACACAAAAACAAAAAAACCCTGTAATCTCATTATAATTTGCAAAACTCTATAAGCCAAGTATGTTTAAATACCCAAAAAAAGAATGTTAACTAGGTCTGAAATGGCTAGGTGTGGTGGCTCACACCTATAATCCCAGCATTTAGGGAGGTGGAGGCAAGAGGACTGCCTGTGCCCAGGGGTTGGAGACCAGCCCAGGTAACTTGGTGAGACCTCGTTTCCACAATTAAAAAAAAAAACTAGCCAGGCATGCTGGCGCTGCACCTCTGGTTCTAACTACTTGGAAGGCTGAGGCAGAAGGATCGCCTCAGCCCAGCAGGTCGAGACTGCAGTGGCCACTGCACTCCAGCCTGGCAACAGAGACTCCAACTCGAAAATAAAAAAAGTTCTGAAATGACCAAGTTATTATATATTACAACTAAGGAGTCAGTATTGGGTGTAAAATAGTGAGCACAGATGCTAAATATCAGGAAATTCAAAGAACTGTACACAGAGCAAGGTCCATATTCCTTAACAATATATGCAATGCCTGGTTATTAACACAACTTTGGAGAAACCCACATATGTTCTAGAGAAAACACCAATATAACAAAAATGTTAGGTAGTTGAGTTATTTTTCTTCTTTCATAAATATTCAAATTGAGTATTATTTTTATAATTTAAAAAATTTCAATTGAAAATATACTTTAAGGCAACACCTTTGGGTCCCCTCCCACTGTGGGGGCTTTTCTGTCCCCTCAATAAATCCTGCTTTCTCACTAAGAAAAAGAAAAAAAGAAAAAAGAAAATATACTTTAAGATCATATCCAACCAGAATTAGCCAAAAATTGAGAAAACCTTGTACATACAGTATTTACCTGGTTCTTCCTTGATGAGTAGAGTATTTTCTTCTGGATAGGCAACAGGTGGCTGCATCACTGAGCAATCTTCTAAATTTGTTTCATTATTAGGTGGTATATTATAAATAAATCTTTTTGTAGTTTGGTTTTTCCTCCTTGTTTTGCCAGTTTCTTGAATTCCCTGGGATCCCATATTATTCCAAATAAACACTTTTGTTTGACCTTCAGATTCATTTTCAGCCATCTCAGGAGATCCATCCTGGACCCAACTACTGTCATTCATTTGGTAGTTTTCTATTTGGCCCTCGTCGACACTACCATCATTTTCAACTTTTACATTACTTGCCAAATTGGTAAGATTCCGTGTTGCCCAAAAACTGGCAATTTTTTGATCCCGTGATGAAGACAGACCATCTCTATTAACTGGTTTTCTATTATTATAGTCCACAACTACAGATTCTGGAGCTTCTGATTTAATGCTTATATTTAAGGCATCTTTAATGAAATTTCGGCAAGTTTGAACAACTTCACTCATTTGAAGATAGCTGGCCACTGTCATCACTTCAATGGCATTTTGGCTTGTGAGCACCAGGTTACCAGAATATAAGAAGTCCAAGATGACTGAAAAACCTTGAACTGCAGCAATGTCTAAATGGGTAGTATTGTTTTGGTTAGGGCTTTCTTTGTTTGAAAAGCAATATAAAGTCTTAAAGAAACGGCTGCCTGCAACCAGGATGTTCTTATGAGCTTTAAAGATTTTTCCGCTTACCACAATGCTGACATCACAAAGAATACCTTTCTTTCTCTGTTCATTTAGTTGTCGCAGAAGTTGATAGCAATAAGAGTTCTCATTTGGCCTACTATTGAAGTCACAGTACCCCTCCTCTGATGGTATTTCTGACTCCTGTAAACCGGATGAAAACCATTATTAGATTTAACTGACATTTTAAAGCACCCCAAATTAAGAAAAACAATATCAAGTTTTTAAAAAGCACTAATCAAAAATATACTAATTTGTGAATATTTATTGAGATTTGAGTGTGCATCATCCCAAATATTGAAAGAAATGAGTAAATAGTGGAAGTACAACCCATTATTAAGAAAAATCAAACACATCTGATTGTGGATCAGTAGGATTTTATTTAAAGAATAACATGCATCATGCTATTCTTTTCAAATATGAGCTAAGGGCATGAATGAGACTTAAAATAGAAAGAGCAATTATTTTAAGAAACTATCATGTCCAAGTTAAATTTGAGTTTGCTTTATTTCTGAAAAGAAAGCAGCAGTCTCCTCTCCAATTGAACTTGGATATACCAGGGTATCACCACATCTAACAATAAAAAAGTAAATTTTGAATCCTGGCAAACACTGAAATCAAACAGCTTAGGTCAATGAAGTTAACTAAATCTAACTAGAGATAAAACTAAGACCCCAAGGAAAATCTGCTTCAACTGACTACAGGAATATTCAATTATATAATTTATTGCCAACTTTCATAATGCCTTTGCTTATCTATTCACAGTCATAAATGCTATAAACTGTTAAGTTAAAATTTCTAAATTCAAAGTTCTTAATTTTTATACATTTTGCAAAATGTAAGTATTCATTACAACCGTTTAGCGTCACTAAAGTTACAGCAGTTTCCTATTGTGTAATATGATAGTAAGAATAAAAAGGTATAATCGAGATTTCAAATGCTGTCTATACCAGTCATTAACTGTGTGTCCGTGTACAAGTATCCCTGAGCCTTTTTCTTTTCTTTTTAAAAATAGAGTCAAGGGTCTCCTTCCCTATGTTGCTCAGGCTGGTCTTGAATCTCGTGCTCAAGTGATCCTCTTGACTGCCTTGGCCTCCCAAAGTGCCAAGATTATAGGTGTTAGCCAGCATGTCTGGCCCCTGATCCTTTTTCTTTAACTATTAATCAATATTTAAAATGTTAGTTATAATTAATAATTTTATGACTTCCCTTACACAGTGACTAGGTGGGCAGGCACCCTCAAGGTAGAACTGTCGCTCTCCAACACCCTGGATTAGTACCTGGCACACTGTTTAATAACCTTGCTAAACAACTGAAGTCAACTTTTTCCAAGAAAAGAACTGCTCAGACATTTCTAACAGGAAGGATGACTGAAAATACCCTACCTAAGTTAAACTTTTTCCTATTTTCTTTGGCATAACATATTAAGTTAAATATAGGTAATTTCTATGAAATAATGAAATATACACACATATATAGATCTATGACTTTATAACCATGGAGAAAAACATGGAAAGATACATACAAGAGTATAAACATGTCCAAAGAGCCAGGCGTGGCTCACACCTGTAATCCCAGCACTTTGGGAGGTGGAGGCAAGAGGATCGCCTGAGCCCAGGGGTTCAAGAGGAGTCTGGGCAACTTGGTGAGACCTCATCTCTACAATAAACCAAAATTAGCCGGGTGTGATGGTGCATGCCTCTAGTTCCAGCTACTTGGAAAACTAAGGAGAAAGAATCGCCTGGGACCAGCAGGTTGAGGCTGCAGTGACCCTGAGCATGCCACTGCACTCCAGCCTGGGAGACTCTGACTCAAAAGAAAAGAAAAGAAAAAAGAACTAAAATACACCAAGCATGGTGGCTCACGCCTGTAATCCAAGCACTTTGGGAGGCCAAGGTGGGAGGATCTTCTTGAGCCCAGGTGTTTGAGACCAGACTGGGCAACATAGCAAGACCTTGTTCACAAAAAATTAAAAAATACTAAAGCAATACTAAAAACACCCACAATAACTGCTTGGGCAACATACTTTTCTATAAAAGCATCCTACTGTTTATTTGGTCTCCCTTTCGAGACTATGTGAATGAAATTAATTTGCCTATGATCTCTACAGAAATTCCTAATATAAAGGAGGAATCTTGCTTCAGTGCAGGTATGATACACTAAACTTTGTTACGCATGCTGTACCTGGCCCCAAGCTGATTTGGTTCAGTGTCTATCTAATAGATATTGCAGTAAAAGTAGGAATACTTGAAAGAAGCAAAAATCTTAAACACTGAATGAAATTTGGCAGCACATCCATGACTTGTTTATAGAAGCACTGAATTAGCATTTACAAGTCAAGAACTGCCTAAAGTGTATATGTCAAGCAGTTGAAGAAACACTTTAGGAAGTAGCTATGTCTAAGTGTAGCAGTCATCTTAGGCGATGATCACTGTGTCCTGGATTTTCTGAGCCAGTCCCAATTTTTAAGATTCTCTGCCTTTATTATACCAAATGTCCTAATTTTTAAAAATAACTCAAGACAAAAGCCTATCCACCAAAATATTTGCCCATTCTATTTTGACACAATCTATACAAATCAAACATAATTCAACCACTATTTTTCCTTCTATGGTACAAGAACATTAATGTCCCCTGCTTTTACAACCAACAGCAATTTCTTTTTCATCACTTATTAAGGCAATATGCCATGTGTTTGTAGCAGCTATTCAACTGTCCTTCAATAATGAAGGGTTTCAGCTGGATACAGTGGTTCATGTCTATAATCCCAGCAGCACTTTGGGAGGCAGAGGCAAAAGGATCGCTGAGCCCAGGAGTTCGAGGCCAGCATGGGCAACATAGTGACACATCATCCCTAAAATAAATTAAAAAAAATAAAAATTGCCCAGGTGTGGAGACATGTGCCTGTAGTCCCAGCTACTCGGGAGCCTGAGGATTGTCTGAACCCAGGAGGCTGTGGAATCCTAACACTACACTCCAGCCTGGGCCCCAGAGTAAAATGCAGACTCAAAAAAATAAAAAAGGTTTAAGCCAAAAGTATATATACTCTAAAATGAGATTATTATTGAGGATTTGAGTAAAAGAGCTAAGCAAGCACAGAGCACTAAAATAAACTGTCAATATTGGTTGGGCACAGTAACTCAGGACTCTAATCTCAGCACTTTGGGAGGCCAAGGTGGAAGATAACTTGAACCTAGAAGTTCGAGAGCAGCCTTAGCAATGTGAGACATAAATTGTCTCTATTAAAAAAAAAAAAAATGTGTTGGCCGGGTTTAGTGGCTCAGCCTGTAATCCCAGCACTTTGGGAGGCCGAAGTGAGTGGACTGCCTGAGCCCGTGGGTTCAAGAATCGCCTGGGCAACTTGGTGAGACTTCATCTGTACAATAAATCAAAATCAGCCAGGCGTGGTAGCGGGCGCCTGTAGTTCCAGCTACTTGGAAGGCTGAGGCAGAAGGTTCGCCGGAGCCCAGCAGGTTGAGGCTGCAGTGGCCAGGAGCGGCCACTGCACTCCAGTCT